GTGAATAAAATCTAATTGTTTGCAGATATGCTTAAAAAATATCCTACTTAAGATGATGGTAAAAATTTATAGGTTATAATTCAAATTTTTTTCGAAAAATTTAAAAATTATTTAAAAAGAAATTTAAAAATAAAACACAAAAATGGCTAAATTTTATTGGAAAATAAATTCGAAATGTGAGAAAAAATCAAAACTTTAATACAAAAAGAGATATAATAAATATTTGTCAAATTCAATTAACATTGAGGAGCTAAAATTTTGAGAGCTAATATTTCAAAAACTACTCGTACGATTTTTTACAAAACTTGGCATTCTGGCATAACCTGAGTCGCAGAATCGAAATATGCAAAAAAACCGGCATGCTACCCCAGAAAAAGTCCGACTCCGTGCCAAAACACCCATGCCAGAATAGTGCCACACACAAATCCAACACATATCCCAAGTCGCGCCCCCGAGACATGAAGAACGCAACCCGAACCCCGCGAACCGCCCCAGTAGAACGCGAGACACAGCACTGTCCCATTCCTTCCTATGAGCAGTGTACATAATATTTTAACTAAAGTAACATTAACTATTGCCGTTCCCAAAATATTCATGTATATTTCAGAAAAACAGTAATTGACAAAATCATAAATCCATACACAGTGTGAGAGCATATCAACAAAAATAAATTATACAGTTTAATTTTTCTTAAATATTAGTTAAATATAAAATTAATTTATTAATTTAACCGTTGTAATTTATTATAGTACAAGTTTAATAAATTCCGTCACCTGTATTATATTTGATCATAATTCCAAGTTTGATACCTGAAAAATAAAGGTCGGGGATCTTAGTTACAAAAAATCACAATCTATACTCATCGATGGTCAAGAGATCCCCATTTTTCCCTCTCAAGAAATTCCTAAGCACGAAGAGGGGGGCCTCCGAAGGGTGTGAATTGCTGATAAGAACGGAACTGATAAGGAATGTGGCGTCTCTACGGAATAGTTACGAAGAAAAGAACCACATGACTTGCTACTATTACTAACTATTGTATAATGCTAGAATCTTATGAAAAATAATAAATAAAGAAATTTAATTGCACTCTAGTGATAGAGAAACATATATTGTATAGAAGAACAGAATGTTATTATCTGAATATTCCGTGTTAGGGCCTCTTTGGATTTCTCGTGTTGATAGTAAACAGCTAACAAGTGAAGCAAACAATCTGAAGTTTCGAAGAAGCGAAGTTTCCTTTTTCAATTTGATGAATGAGACATTGCATAGGAAAGATGCATTAAACTTTTTTTTTTAGAGAGTTGAAAACATTTACTTGAAACAGTTTATTTAAAAAAATTTCGGAGCTATGTTTAGACACTGCCTCCAGCTTTCGTGATCGCAGCGCCCCCAAACATTTATGGTTAATGATAATAATAGATACAGTTACAGTTACATATATAACAGTACACAACTTTCAATACCATTAGAATTACTCACATGAGCATTAACTACATCAGAATGAACAACAGTATCATTACGTGCCTTATACATTTGGCACTTATCTTTCAAATTATTGAATTTGCCCTCCATCTCCTTAATTTGGCGTTCGATGCACATGCGATGAGATATACAGTCCACTCCGGAATTAGCTATAAGAAAAGATTCACGCTCACTACGGAGTTTTTCCGCAACCTGCAATGAGTATTTAGGAAAATTTACCGTGTTGACGAAATCAAGATCGAACTCTTTTTTGGCAAATCATGATTGTGTATTTTTTATCTTTAACGATTTAATAGACAGTCATCTAAAGTGTCGAAATCCTCGAAAAACGACGGTTTTTCAGTTTCGTCAAAATTAAGACTAGTGCTGTTGTATGTATTTTGCATATATTGATTTATTTTCATAACCACAGGCTATTTCGTTTGGTTTTGAATTTAAAATGTTAACAAAACCAATGTAAAAGGACCCGTTTATATCTGTTTTAAAACAAATATCTCATTAAAACTATAAGTAAAATTGGGACACTTTAGATGTAAATCTTGTCACTTGAATTTTGGTTATATAAAGCACTATGAGGAGAATAAAGTGTAGAAAAACAGTTTTTACATGTCGTTATGACAATTATTGTAAAGCATATTTTGCGATGAAATAACGTGAATCTTTCCAGTGTTTCCTGGAGTACAAATTTCTAACTTACGAGGGCTATCCAGAAAGTAGATTACGTTTTGGAATAAAAAAATAAACAAAGTATAGGAAACAAATTTTATTATATACAGATGAAAGCCACACTCAAATACTACTTTTCTACATAGTCCACCATACAAATTAAGGCATTTATCGTACGATTACGAGCTTGGATTCCTTCGTCGAAAAAAATTCGGCCGCCCTGCGCCTTCAACCACTTCGTTACTCTTCTTTTGCCTTCCATCTTGCACAAAACTTGTGGTAACCAAGCTTTTCGCTGATGATTCGGCAACAAACTTCGCGAAATATGTGGAAAACTCAAAGAAAGTTCCGTTTATTGTGAAATTTCGATTTTCACGGACTTTAGCATCGACTTTTTTCGAGAAGTTCGGCGGTCACTATGCTGGGTCTCCCACTTCGATCTTCGTCGTGAACATTGGTTCGGCCATTTTGAAATCTTATGACCCACTGACGCACTCCACCCTTCAGTGATAATGTTGTCCCCATACACTTCACGAAGCTGCCGATAGATTTCTATCGGTTTACAGTTTTTTGCAGTCAGAAACCTTATTACTGAGCGCACCTCGCGGGATTTTCAATTAACGCAGACATTTCAAACCGTCACAGTATCTGAACGGAGCACAGCACGAACCTCTCACTAGCACGGCTAGATGCAGACTGAGCTGCGCAACGCTCTGACCCCAAGATGGCCGCGCTAGCCCCGCCCCTAGCGGACACAGACGGAAACGTAATCTACTTCCTGGATGGCCCTCGTAAAACTGGCTGTGCATTTTGTAGGTGAAGTTGTTCGAAATGCTTAAAGTTTCTGAAATTTGGACCATGTATCTGTGTAATGTTTATACTTGTGTGTACATCTGCTAATAAGATTAGAAAGGTTTTACTGTGTACTTAAGATCTGCCAAACGTATACTCTCTCTGCATGAAAAATCACTGTTAATTAGTCCTTATGGTTGAAGGAAGTTAATTTTATGAAGGTATTGATTAATGTTTACATCATGTGTTACGAACATTGTATGATGATTTCAGAGAAGTCAATTGTGTTTATATTGTGTATTTGTTAAATGGTGTACTAATTTTATAATCACATTTTTTTCTTGAAGTTCTTTATGCTAGTGCGTAAATATAGAGACGAGTTATTTCTAAAGTCTTAATGCACATCCTTTAGAAATGTAGCTCCATGTGTTGTACATAGATGACATTTTTGTTAATTTAATTCGTAGTAATTGTGTTAGGGGTATTTATAGAAAATGTATAAGCCATGCAAAATTATTGTCAGTTCATACTGCAGAACGATGATGATTAGTAATTTTACATTCCTTCTTGTAGGTTAATCGTAAATTTTTCATGTAAGAAATTTTTTCAATTTAATGTTAAACTGCTTTTTCATTAAAATCTGTTTTCAGGAATTTATACAACGAATTGGTATCCTGCGGGAGGGTAATCTGCCTTGATATAAATTTGAGATTTCTGTTGGGAATTTTTGAAGCAGTGCGATTTTTAAAATTTTAATCAATAATTTCTCAGCTTTTAATGGGATGAGATTTAATTTTTATTTCTAATGTGGCTATTAAATTATTTTTTTCTTATGCAATACATATGAAAATTCAGTTTTGGTGTATTTCTACTAAAAGGTGTCACTTGATCAAAATTGTAGCATTCTAAAAGTCTGCTGTAATTTCTTTCTGAAAGTGAAGCTAGATATTCAAGGAGTAATTAGTCGCAAAATATATTTTAAAAGTCCAAGTATATTTGTCTTTTAAAGCAAATATCTCATAAAAAATGTGAAGTATGTCAAATTGAGACACAAGGAGATGTAATTCTTAGGTAAATTTTGGTTATATAAAGCACTACAAGGAAAATATGGTTTGAAACAATGATTTTTGCAAGTCATTATTACAATTACTGGAAAGTATATTTTGTGTTGAATTTTTCCAGGGTTTACTGGAGTACAAATTTTGTACGTAAATTTGGCTATACATTTTAGAGGTGAAGCTGTTCAAAATGTTAAAATTAGTTTCTGAAATTTGTATCATGTATCTTTGTAATGTTTAAACCTGTGTTTATGTCTTTTAGTAAGATTAGAAGGTTAATCTTTGGAGTATGGTAACTTGGCGATTTTTTGGTGAAAAATTTGGCGACCAACCCTGCTACAGCAACCTGCTAGTTATTTTTTTTTTGGACGGCATTTTGTCTTCACGAAGTAAAGGCTTTTTTTTTTACTCAACATTTTTTTCCAACAATCTGCTAGCCGAATTACACTTATGCTAGAACTTTTATGGAACAAAAGTGCTTAATCATGACGAAGATTAGGTGCAAAATTGGGAGAAAGTGCAGAATCGTCCACTGCTTGCCGCGTTTTTAAGAATTGCACATACACTGCATCCATGTACACATCAACCTATTTTCACTTAAAAAAACATCCCAGAATTGCACAAAAAAAGGGCATTGCGCACACTTTTGACTTTATCCATCTACACTGCTAAAGTCCTAGCTAGTAACCTTTATCGCCTTACCAAAATGTCGACAAACTACCTGTTACCATATTCCAAAGATTAGCTGATTAGAATAGTTTTACTGTGTACCTAAGATCTGCTAAATGTATACTGTCTTTGCTTGAAAAATTGCCTTTAATTAGTCTTTATGGTTGAAGGAAGTTAATTTCATGAAGGTATTGATTAATGTTTATATCATGTGTTACAAAAATAGTATGATGCTTTCAGAGAAGTAAATTTTGGGTTGATCTTTGGATTATGGTAACTTGGCGATAATTTGGCGACCAACTCTGCTACAGGAACCCTCTATTTTTTTTTTTTTTTTTGACGCCATTTTGTCTTCATGAAGTAAAGATATATTTCTTTTCTTTTAATTTTCTTAACACTTTTTCCAACAATCTCCTAGACAAATTACACTTATGCTAGAAATTTTATGGAACAAAACTGCTTAATCATGACAAAATTGGGAAAAAGTGCAGAATCACAAACTCCTTGCCGCGTTTTTCAAAATCGCACAAACACAGTAACCATGTACCGTCCACTTATTTTTACTGAAAAAAACATCCAGAATGCACAAAATGGCATTGTGCACACTCTTGACTTTATCCATCTAGCTGCTATTTTCTCATAAATTATAAAAATTTGCACGAAATGCAGGAAAATTTTGTGAATCTTTAAACTTGGTAAAAAGCACATATATGAAATTACCTGATCGCGAAAACGTATATACCCTATCCAAGGATGAACATTTCCACGTATAATATAAATAAAATATCCAAAAACTTTTATCTCTAAATTATCTATTATGAACGTCACCAACATATTCATAACAAAACATTAAAAATGGTTACAAATGCTTACTGTCAAATATTTAAATTATTTCCATGCACGTTTACATCCACTCCAACGTATACCAAATTGCTACAAACATATAATTCACAAAACTATCATTTAATTTAAATATACCGTAATTTCTGGAAGAAAGGCCGCATCAGCGTAAACGCCGCACTCAAGAAAAATGGCGGGAAAAAATAAAATTACACAAAGGGCATCCAGCATAAACCCGCAGATTAAAGTTGCGCGTGACATCGTCGTGGGCCGTATAGATGCAAAAACTCAACCTAAGTCCTGATATATGACATAACCAGTTTAAGAAAAATGCATGAAATAAACCATAAACTCAAAAATATTAAGTAAGAATGTATAGCTTTTATGCCGTTTAGAGACATTTTCAAAATTTTCCGCTCCCTTCTTACTTAAAAACATCCAACAAGTACTTGTACCCAAACTGTTGGGATTTGTATTGGCAGAATGCCAATAAAATCCATTCATGCTGAAGGGGAATACGTCAGAGTTCGTTATTGCGAGGCAGGTGGAGTCGTGTCCCGCCTTTGAAAAAAATTGCAGAAAGTTAATTGGAAAGAGGATGGGTCCTGGAAGATTCATCGAATGACAGAGCAGAGATAATATTCAAACTGATGATAATGTTGATTTGAAAGGGGGAAGAATGTTATTGTTCTGAGATCTCGTTAGGGTGAATAAGGCATGTAGGTGTCCGTTCAAGGAAAGAATGTAAACGAAATAACATATCGCAAAAAGCAACTGAGTGGTCTTTTGTGTGGGAACAGCACCATTTTATGCACAATGACAAGGCCATCCAAACTATGTACAATGACCATCATAGGAAATATTTTATTTTTACTACACCTAACGCCGCATGGGTAGAACGCCGCACCCGCTGAAAATTTAAGTTTTAAACACGTAAACGCCGCGGCGTTTCTTCCGGAAATTACGGTAATTAAACCATGTACACGTCAACTTATTTTTACTTGAAAGAACATCCCAGAATTGCACAAAAATGGCATTGCGCACACTCTTCACTATATCCACGTACACTGCTTTTTTCTCATAAATTAGAAAAATTTCACGAAAATGCATGAAAATTTTGTGAATCTTTAAATTCGGTAAAAATGACATATATGAAATTACCTGATCGCGAAGAAGTATATACCCTTTCCAAAGATGAACATATGCACGCATAAAATAAATAAAATATCCAAAAACTTTTACCTTTAAATTATCTATTATAAACGTCACCAACGAATCTATAACAAAACATTAAAAATGGTTACAAATGCTGAGTCTCAAATATTTAAATTATTTCCATGCACGTTTACTTCGACTGAAACGTATACCAAATTACCGTAATTTCGCACGTATAGTCCGCACCATCGTATAGTCCGCAGACACGATTTTATATAAAAAAAAATTTAAAAATTATCAGATAGTCCGCGGACTATACGTCCGAAATTATGTTTTTTTAATACGGCAATATTCCCATGCTTTTTAAACACATCTTTTGTTTGCGCAAATTTCTCACCGCTTTCTTGTCCACTTCAAAATAACTGAGTAAAATCCTAGTATACGGTGCAGCCTTGGCGCGACTTTGAAAATTATCGCCAACACCAAAATGATCCAAAGAACGTCTATATATATACTATACATACGCATAGTATATATACTAATACATAGTATATACTATGTTTTAACTATATATTTTCTTTGAATGACCCGTTAACTACTCATCGTATATGTCCCGTTTTTACTGCTCATCATAAAGTCGCCAAAGTAGTCAAATCCCGTGTGCAACCGGATACTAGGATTAAACCAATAACTGCCCGCTTCTCTATTTCCATCTTTTCAGTTTCTCAACTACCTCTCAGCAGAAAATCTCCGGCGATGTTTCATCAACGTTATCGAAGATGAAAGACAAAATACGAAAACAAAATACTGTGCAACGTGCTATCCTCATGATAAGTGGTAATGAAATGTGACCTTCGACCCCACTCACTTGGTGTTGCCAAACCACGCTATAAGTAAACGAAATCACGCTTTTTTTTTTCGTACTCCAGGTACTTGCTACTAAGGCTCCTAAAAACCGAGCTGACGCAATCGATACGATATATACCCCCTCCCGGCAGTTGTTTTAAAGCAATGCGAAGGATACTTGGAATCTCGCTTTTTTATATTTGATCATCGGCAGTTCACGACAGCGTGTTTTTTAAATTTCAACAATTTTAACCATGAACAACCAGCGTATATCCGCACAGGTGGATAGTCCGCAGCTTCAAAAATTGCATTTTAAACACAGATAGTCCGCGGACTATACGCGCGAAATTACGGTACTACAAACATATAATTCACAAAATAACTATCATTTAATTAAAATATAATTAAACCATGTACACATCGACTTATTTTTACTTAAAAAAACATCCCAGAATTGCACAAAAATGGCATTGCGCACACTCTTCACTATATCCATGTACACTGCTTTTTTCTCATAAATTAGAAAAATTTCACGAAAATGCAGGAAAATACTCAACGTATTCTACTCAAACGTATTCCAAAATACTACAAACATATAACTCACAAAATCACGATCATTAAATTAAAATATAATTAAATTTAAAAACGCTACT